TATTTATTCTTAAACTAAGAATAATATATAGTCAAATTAAGACCTTAAAACTAAAAACGAAAATATTATAGCTTAAATTGAGATTTTGCTCTATGCTCAATTTAATGCATGTAATCTTAAAAAAATCTAGGGAAGGATTTCTCTGAGTGTGTTATTATATCATATTTGAACAGCAATTGTTAATTTATTTTTAATAACATACTGTTGTCTCATCTTATACCTATTTGTCCTAAAATTGGAATGTAATTCTGTTGGGCATAAATAAATTATTATTATTATTATTATTATTATTATTATTCCTTATATCATTGATTAAGAAACTCAACGCTTATATGCTTATATAGTTACGTTAGTGTGTATTTTATCCAAGTGATCATGGTGAGTTATTGCGTTTTTAATTGTAAATGTAATTCAACTAAATCTTTGCATTTTCATGTTTTGCCGAAGGATCCAATTCGGGAAGTATATTTGATGGTGAAGAATAAACTAATATAATACCAAATACAATTTATATTTAAGGACATTTTTAAGAAATTCAACAAATAATAATAGTTGTACAAATATAACCTTAAAATAAAAAAAAAAAATATTTGATATTTTTAAAAACGCCGACATCTGCAATTTAAAATAGTAAACGATAAAATATATCTACGAATTCATGGCCACATAATTTTAAATATAATACATAATAATAATAATAATAATAATACCCGTTTTTGGGTTTTTACCGTTGAGTGGAGACTTTCTCAATCAACGCTTTTAATAATGCATAACGATGTTTAAATTTAAATAAATTATTTGTTTATAATGTTTACAATTTTTTCATAAATTAAACCAGGATTTTCTTTTGAAAAATACCCAATAACCACGTTTTTTTGCTCGATATTATTTATTTTTCGGCCATATTCTCAAAAACAGCTGATTATTAAAAGTTGTGGTAACAGCCACGTGTGACGCCACTAGCGCTGCTTCTTTAGGAAACTTTCCACTCTATAAAAAAGTTCTCTAAAAGTGAATAAATGTCATTGGAGGTGAACATTTTATATAAAAAAATCATTTTTTTTCTGTATCTTGAATTTTTCTTACCTTTTTCTGATTTTTTACGTTTTTTTTTAAAGTGGTCGGGCTCAGATTAAAACTTAATTTTAAAATCTAAAACTTTGGGTTGGGTACCTTCAGAAGGGTAAAAAGTAAGAAAAAACCTTGTTTGAAAAAAAATATGTTTTTTCCGAGGTTTTTCCAATTTTTTAGGATTTTTTCTAATTTTTTTTTTGAGAAGTGGTCGGGGCTTGGGTTAAAAATTAATTAAAAAATCTGAAACTTCAAAAGGGTAAAAAAGTAAGTTGTTTTTTTCTAACGTTTTTCTGATAATTTCTGTTTTTTTCATAAAAAATTAATTTTAAAATCTGAAAATTTCTCTCTAAAAATAAATTAATAAAAAATGACTAATTTATAGTTATTAGTGGCTGCTTTTTCACTTGTACCATGGTTAACCATGGAGTACCATGGTATCCCAAAATTTAACAGCCAATTCTTATGTAAAATTGTCCCCGGAATCCAAAAATGTTAAAGTTAAAAAAGTAGAACAGTTTTTGAGATATAGTCAATTTTCCATTTAATATGGAATTGACTATATCTCAAAAACAGCTCCACTTTCATAATTTTTGACGGTATTTTCGGATTTAGGGGACAATTTTACATAAGAATTGGCTGTTAAATTTTGGGATACCATGGTACTCCATGGTTAACCATGGTACAAGTGAAAAAGCAGCAACTAATAACCATTAAATTAGTCATTTTTGACTAATTCATTTGAGTTGGAAGTACCTTCAAAAGGGTAAAAAGTAAGAAAAAACTTTGTTTGAAATGTTTTTTTTTACCTTTTTCTAATTTTTTCTGTTTTTTTTAAGTGGTCGGGGCTCAGGTTAAAAGTTAAGTGAAAATCGGTAACTTTTCGAGGACATTCAGAAGACTAAACAAAAGAAAAAAAAATTGATTTTTTCTAACCTTTTTCTGATTTTTTTCTGTTAAAAGTGGTCGGGGCTCAGGATAAAAATTAATTTAAAAATCTGAAACTTTGGTAAGTAGTACCTTCAGAAGGTACGAAAAAACCTTGTTTGAAAAAGTAATATTTTTTTCACTTTTTAAGGATTTTTTTTCTTGTATACAATTTACCACTTTACGAACAGGGTTTTTTTACGATTTTTTCCATTGTAACTAGTGGTCTGTTTTCTACAAAATTATGCATTGGAAATTGTTGTAATCCTATTTAAACTCGTGTAAAAAATATTATTTAAAAAGAAGGCATAAAAACCGAATTATTTTTTAAGTAATCCCCTTTTAATATTCACCTTTTATTCACGTTGGTAAACGCATTAATGGTTTTTCCCTATTAATCGACTTTTACCCGCTTGTAACCTGTTTAAGCTGGTTATGTTCAACTCGAGCATATTTATAGAAAGCAATGAGAACCTGAATTTCAAATACCCTATAAAACCTTTTTGCTTTTTTAATTAGCGTTGCTGTTTGAAAAGTAAAATCTCCGTTTGTGAACTTTTGTTCTATATAAGAGAGCTTGTTTTCGAACGTTAATCATACATTATATAAAGAAAATGTGTGTGAATTGGGATAAAAACGTTCTTTTAGCTTTAGTCATTTTTTACTACCAATTTACTCCCCTGACATCTAGACAGCGAAATAAATGACTAGCAAAAAAGTAAACGCGATTTTGCTTTTACTCAAGATATTATTTCTGCATACTACACTTGGTTTGAACAAAAATGCACCACACAATAAAGATTTTATGTGAACACACGGCAACGAAATAAAATTCGGTTCTTAAAAAGGAATGTAGTAACTTTATATACTTTCCAAGTAAGTTTTGTTACCGCCATTTAATTCAATTCATAGGCGAAGTTCCACGGAAGTTCACGCTGTTCGTGTCTTTCGTTTATGCCTTTTAAAGGATTGTGAATGGTCAGAACTTTTGCCAACTCAATTTAAACTCGTATATTTGAGAGGTGCGGAGACAAAAGAAACAATTTTATTTTTTCGTTGATTTTGTGGTAATATGCAGTAAAACTGTGTAGTGGTTTATATTAAAGTTAAAATGTTTATTAAATACTAACACTAATAAGCATAATTAAAAATAAGGATAAATAATTATTAAAAAGTTGCAAAACTGGCGGATGCGCCGGGATACTCATAAAAATGATCATTTTGCTAAAAAAAATAATTCTTTTTTGGAGTAGTATTTTTTCGAACTTAGACGGTTTTTCTATGTTAATATTGTTTTAAAAAATACAAAACGTACTATTTTTTTGTAAAAGTTCTTGGCTTTTCAATGAATATATTCAAGTACCGGAAGACCCTCAAACATTGATATTTTTTCTAAAAGCTGATTTTTTTTACATGAAATATATTATTTTTACGATGGGGTTATTTTTTGTTTAACTACAATCAAATAAAAAAAGTATTTTTAAAAAAATAATTGAGGTTATGAATCTGTCAAATTAACGCCAATGTTGTATTATTTACAGAAAATTACGTACATGTTTACATGACACTAAGTGACCTTTTAAAAAAACCAAAGGAATAAATATTTTTTTTAACATAATCATATTTGGAAGTTATATTAATATTTTATCAGCATCAATAGTAGTTAAGTATAATTAAAATAATAACGGAAAATGTTAATGGGGAAAATAACGTTAAAAATGTTTATTGGGATGGTTAATTTATTTTCGTATAGATGTCGCTTCATACAAATATTTAATTTTAATAATTTTTTAGGTAATATTAAATAATTCTCGTAGAAAAAGTATAGTATGCAATTCATTTAATTAAATTAAATTCGTGACTAAAATGACGTTTATCAGGCTTGATACATAATAAACTATTTTTCGTTGCTTATAATAACGAATAAATATTTTAATTGAAAAGATAAGATTTTTTTACAAAAAACGAAATCTCAGTATATTTTTAAATTACAAAAAAGTTGTGATGTTTTGACACTGACCAATTTAAAATTTAAAAAAATATATTTAACAAAATTGATATATTTAAACATACACTCGCAGGCAAAATAATCGATCCACACAAATTTTCGATGAATTTCAATCGCAAATAACTTTTTTATTTGATTTCGGATTTAAACAAATATTAAAGAATATTGTAGATACATTAATGGAGAATCGCTCACATTTTAAAAATTACTAAAAAATACACGTACGTTTATAATATATAGGTTTAAACAAAAAGATGTTTTTTACCATAAGTTTAAGACACTCTGTAGAGTGGCAAAATCGTATATTGTTCTAAATTAAGTTTTAATTATCAAGTCACATCTATCTTTAACAGTTTTATTTTTGGTTCACCTTGATATATTTTTTTTGTGGAAAATATGGATTTAAAAAAAAACATTGCAATTTCCAATATTTTCCTGTATGAAGAACTAAGGTTTCTATTAGAGATGCCACGAATATTCGGCACCTATTCGGTATTCGGCTATTCGGCCACTTTTTTCGCTATTCGGTATTCGGCCGAATATTGCAAACTATTCGGCCTAATACCGAATAGCAAATCATGAAAAAAAGAACTCAAAATATTACTCACAAACATGTTTATTAAACATTGTTTAATTAACCAATAAATTAATATATTAATATTTAAAATCTACCAGTGGTAAGTTATGATGAATGAAAACAATTTTTTCAGCATTTGTTGTTGACAGACGATTGCGTTTTTCATCATAAATTATACCTGCTTCCGAAAACAGCCGCTCACTATATACACTGGTACCGGGAGATGATAAATAAATATTAGCAAATTGAGAAAGGGTTGTATATTTTTTTGCGTTTGCTGACCACCACTTGTAAGGGTCTGCTGTTCGATCTAAGCGAACAGATGACATGTAGAAATTAAGTTCATTTGCAACCGAACTTTTCTGTTCCACGCCCTCATCTGAATGTACATTTTCTGCAGCGACTTCCTCCTACTTCTCAGCTCCACAAGTCGAAGCGGCGCCTTTGATATGGCGGCGAGATTGAATGGTGCGGTCTTTTTTTGACACGGGGTAAAAGCCGGGGATGCGGTTCGGCCGAACTGAACGACTTTAAGCCGCGAAAAGTTCTAAGTGTTGCCGAATATTCGGCTGCCGAATATTCGGCGCTTCGGCCAAGAGTCTCGCCGAATATTCGGTATTCGGCCAAATAACTATTCGTGGCATCTCTAGTTTCTATGGTCCATCCATAGCCTATGGAGGATGACAGTGACAGTTTTGTAGAATTATCCCATACTTGGACATGTCATATACATCTTTCAAAAGCTATCAAATTGTTTTTTGTAAATTAATGTGTTAATTTTGAGGTGTCTTCTTACTTTTAAAAATTTATCCGACATGTTGCCCTTTGTACTTTACTTCTTGTGACGTTTAAAACACTTGCCACGTAATACTGTGACCGTCCTGGATTAAATTAATGGCTCTGGCAACATCAGTCGGAGACATATCCATTTTTTAAAGTAAGAAGACACCTTACAATTTAAACATTAATTTGCAAAAAACAATTTGATAGCTTTTGAAAGCCGTGTATGACATGTCCAAGTATGGGATGATTCAACAAAACTGTCACTGTCATTCTCCATAGCCTATGGATGGACCATAGCAACCTTAGTTCTTCATACAGAAAAATATTGGAAATTGCAATGTTTTTTTTTAAATCCATATTTTCCACAAAAATAAATATATCAAGGTGAACCATAAACGGTTTTGCCACTCTAAAGAGTGTCTTAAACTTATGGTAAAAACATCTTTTTGTTTAAACCTGTATATTATAAACGTTCTTCTATTTTTTAGTAATTTTTTAATATGTGAGCGATTGTTCATTAATTTATCTACAATATTCTTTAATATTCGTTTAAATCCGACATCAAATAAACAAGTTATGAAATTCATCGAAAATTTGTGTGGATCGATTATTTTGCCTGTGAGTGTATAAAAACAGTTTGTAATTTAAACATACTTTTTCGACATTAAGAGTAATTTTCCTATTAAAACTAATAGACAAAATAAAACTTACCGTATCTAATATCACCTTTGCCCGCCGGTATGTTACCGTTGGGCTCTAATCGGTCTAGGAACTCGTCGCTGTAGCCATTGTAGGGCATTTTCCCGTGATTGTGTTCTTCCGCTTCCTCCTTAGAGATCGCTGAAAGGAAAAAAAGAAAAACCAATTAATCCAAAAGTGCAGACCAGACACAATTACATCTCGCCACCATTAAGGAACCGTTAAGCTTTATAGTCCAAAGTTTATACGATGAGATTGCGAGGATTGTTAGTTACATCCCACCAATGTTGGTGTAGGTTAGTGGTATATAAGGAGGGTTGTTATTATATTTCACCGTTGTTTACTTATGTTAATGGTATTATAAAACGAACATTTGGTTATACACTAATACAGTTACATCTCACCAATGTTGATGTAGGTTAGTGTTATATAAGGAGGATTGTTATTATATTTCACCGTTGTTTACTAATGCTAATGGTATTATAAAACGAACATTCGGTTAAATACTAATACACTGGGTGTTAAATATATCACGTTAAATAATTAGTGAGATATACGTAAACTGCACGGAATCAAATATTAAAGCAAGATTTAGTGGGGTGAATTTAATAATTAATTATTAGAAGGGAATGTATAGGAAACGGCCATAATTTTATTGAATTAAAAATGAATTTCATGAATTTCAAGTACGGTTTATTAGATATACATATTTGCGCATAATTCTCTCAAATGCTGGGTAAATAAATTTGCATCCAGACGATAGCACATAAGCTGAAATATGTCGAAGATCCTGTGGAACGTAGCTCCTCAGAGACTGGTCTGAATTATGTTTTTATGATATACCAAAAGTGCTGATAAAGTATCGCGAGTGTGTCACAGTGAAATATCGATGGAATAAATTACCTTTATGGGTCGTATATGTGAGATATAACGACCAATCACGTCTGAATATCAAGGTTTTGATGGTAAAATATTTGTAGAGATTTGTAAGAAATTTATTTACTATTATTTATACGACTATAGAGTAGAGCAATGTTGTTTATATGAACGCGAAAACAGATTTTAGGCATAAAACAATTTTTAACATAATATTAGCTATTTGTCGTAGAAAAAGTATAATATAAAACTGGTGTATAAAATTTTCTAGGTACTCATTTAATTAAATTCGTGATTAAGATGGCGTTTATTAGACTTGATACATAATATACTATTAAAGTTGCTCTTTATCAATTAAGAATGCCCATTATTAAAATTACATAACGTATTTTGTTTTTAATTAACTTTAGTTGACAAAAATCATTATTCTTCCTCTCACAACATTTTTTTGACGACCTTGTGTCAAAACCTTCACTTTAATCAATATTTCGTAAAAACATCCCAACCTATTCCATATCTCATAAATATATATATATATATATATATATATATATATATATATATATCGATATAAAAAACACAGTAAAACAGGGTTGTAAAAACTTGGCCTCAGGGAGAATCCTTGGCACTGAACGTATTGTAAGAAGGACGACAAATTTCTCATTTCTACGTAAGAAGACAGAAACTCGAAAAAAAAAATTGATTGCGTAGCAGAGCATTAGAGTGGGGGCTCGAGAAACATCCCAACTATTTTGTAATTTGATAAATTTCCCTATGTATCGCATAAAATGATATCTGATGTTGAGCTCAGTCAGTTATTAGAGCAAAACGTAATTACAAAGTTTCAGACAATCAGTCATGAAAGTTTGTTGTTAAGTTTAATATATTGGGGGTTCAGAATGAAATAATTCCAATTGCCTATTTTTTGAAAAACTTAAAAGAAGAAAATTTAAAATATTTTTATTTTTCTACCCCTACCTTTAAAACGCCCATTATCGTACATGTTTCCATTACACTAAGTAATCTTTTAAATATACATTGACAAGTTGTGGCTTTATGGCGCTTTAATCATGGGCTGAAGTTAGCAACAGGTTTTTAATCACGGGATGAAGTTAGTTTTAAGTTGGTTGACAGTTTTCAAATGTCATACAATCGTTAAAATAAAGTGCCTTTCTTGTAAAGTTATACTAAATGTGAAAATTTTATTACCTCAATTCAAAAATACAAAAGTATTAAATAGTTTCTTGACGCCTTTGACGCCGCTTTTGATTTCGCCGTAGTAGTGCAGTTAACTAAATTTAACTGATAAAGCGTTAAAAAATTTGCGTACAGTGCCAATAAAATATTTTCTTCTCTTTTACTGTGAAAAACTGCTTCTATATCGATTGTTAGTCTATTTTTAAGGGATAAATTTTGATTTACACAGAAAAATTTAAGATTTTGAGATTTTCCAATAAATTTTTTGATAATATTTTGCAATTAAAGTAATAAAAAAAATCAAAGGATAACATAATTTCTTAACATACGTAATTACATATAAAAGTTATTTACATATTTAAAAGAATCAATAATTCTTAAGTTTGGTTAAAATAATAACGGGTAATGCTAATAAATTACGTCAAAAATGTTTATTGGGGTGATTAATTTATTTTCGTATAGATGTCGCTTTACACAAATATTTAATTTAAATCATTTTTTAGATAACATTAAGTATTTGTCATAGAAAAAGTATAGCATGCAACTCGTTTATAAACTTATTTAATTAAGCACTCGCTGGTGCCTAAATTAAGTTCGTGACTAAAATGGCGTTTAAAAATTATAACTAATTTAATTATTGTAAATTCAGCAATAAAATCATTTAACGTCCAATAAAAAATTAGGTATGGAATTATATTTTGGATTCATTCACCAGATATAAATAGAATTTTTGCCTTCGAAGTATTTTTAAATTAAATCAACTCGAATCATGTAAAGATTTTTTTTTTTAATTTGGAATTTTAACTGTTTATTTTTTTTTTATATGAATCAATTTTATTTGTAAGAGAAGAGAAACCAAAATAGGTTTAAGAATCAATTTAATAAATTTAACACTAGTCACAATTACAGCATTTGCTTTAAAAGCAATTTAAACTGTTATAGATTAAATTATCTTTACTTACAAAGAAATGTTCCATACTCTGTGAAAAATTTACAATAGAATTTCTTTGGAAATAAGAAGTGTTATTATTCAATACTATTGAATCAATAGGTGAATTTTTAAAGGACGAAAATTTTGATTTCCCTGTGGAAAAGATATTTTTTATATATTTTGTTGTTACCTATGTATGTTTGATTTAATTTATGTTGTGCAGGTAACTTTATATTAATTAATTACTACTATTACTTTTTCTTTGTGACGTGTTCTACACCCAATGGTATCTATGTATAATGCATTTTCCCACCATGTTTCACTATGATTTTCTTGTGTAGTTTGGCTCACTAAACGCGAAAATCACACTTGAATTTTTTTCATGGAAGCGTTTTCGAGATATGAATTTTCAATTGTTTTTTTTTTAATTTTCTGAGGTGTTTTGACGTTTTAGAGTATAATTGTTCTAATTGATCGATTTGACAAAAGAAGCTCTTAAATCAAAGGTTATTGAGCCCTCCACAACTTTCTTTTGTATAGTTTTGGTATCGGCTCAGTAGTTTGATACTGGCGATTTTATGAAGTTGAAAAAGTCCTTTTTGTGTAAATTTTCGACCTCAATTTTTTGCGATTTTGTATACCAGTGTTATTATTATTATTATTATTATTGATACATAATATACCATAAGGTACAGTTCTAGAACAACCCTTACGGATTTAGGACAATTTTAATTAAATACTTTTAAATTAATATCTCCCTTTGATCTTTGCCTAAAGGTAGACTTCATCCTTAAAATTGACCTCCATTACCCGAACTACCGTGTGACGTAGGTAGCAGAGTACACAGTAAGTAGAACCAAAGCCGGCGTGGAAAGGCTCGGGTGAAGGGGGAAGGCGTTAGCCGCGGCGGGTCGATATTAGGGTCACAGGACCAAGAAAGGAACTCCCGGAGCCACGTAAATGGGTCAACGGCGTCTCGAATACGTGCGCCGGAAAACCCGGAGCGCTCGCGATGACTCATCGCTGCCGCGGAAACCGTCTAACGACTCCGTGACGTCGAGATGTAAGCCGTGGATAATGCAAATGGTGTTTTAAAGGCATTAGGTTGGTAATGCTGTGAAATAAATATTGCTGTAACCCACAATATCAACGATTTATTATTTTGCCATACAACGATTTATGTCCTACTCACAGTAAAAAAATACACTCACAGGCAAAATAATCGATCCACACAAATTTTCGATAAATTTCAATTGCAAATAACTTTTTTATTTGATTTCGGATTTAAACAAATATTAAAGAATATTGTAGATACATTAATGGAGAATCACTCTTATTTTAAAAAATAGACGTACGTTTATAATATACAGGTTTAAACAAAAAGATGTTTTTTACCATAAGTACTCTGTAGAGTAACAAAACCTCGGACAAAACCGTATATTGTTCTAAATTAAGTTTTAATTATCAAGTCACATCTATTTTTAACAGTTTTGTTTTTGGTTCACCTTGATATATTTATTTTTGTGGAAAATATGGATTAAAAAAAAAACATTGCATTTTCCAATAGTTTTCCTGTATGAAGAACTAAGGTTGCTATGGTCCATATATAGCCTATGGAGGATGACAGTGACAGTTTTGTTGAATCATCTCATACTTACACATGTCATATAAATCTTTCAAAATCTATCAAATTGTTTTTTTGTAAATTAATGTGTTAATTTTGAAGTGTCTTCATACTTTTAAAAATGTCTCCGACTGATGTTGCCCTTTGTAGTTTACTTTTTATGACGTTTAAAACACTTGCCACGTAATACTGTGACCGTCCATCCTGGATTAAATTAATGGCTCTGACAACATCAGTCGGAGATATATCCATTTTTTAAAGTAAGAAGACACCTCAAAATTTAAACATTAATTTGCAAAAAACAATTTGATAGCTTTTGAAAGCCGTGTATGACATGTCCAAGTATGGGATGATTCAACAAAACTGTCACTGTCATTCTCCATAGCCTATGGATGGGCCATAGTAACCTTAGTTCTTCATACAGAAAAATATTGGAAATTGCAATGTTTTTTTAAAAAATCTATATTTTCCACAAAAATAAATATATCGAGGTGAACCAAAAACAAAACTGTTAAGAATAGATGTGATTTTATAAATAAAACTTAATTAAGAACAATATACGGTTTTGCCACTCTACAGAGTGTCTTAAACTTATGGTAAAAACATATTTTTGTTTAAACCTGTATATTATAAACTTACGTCTATGTTTTAGTAATTTTTTAAAAATGTGAGAGATTGTACATTAATTTATCTACAATATTCTTTAATATTCGTTTAAATCCGACATCAAATGAAAAAGTTATTTGCGATTGAAATTCATCGAAAATTTGTGTGGATCGATTGTTTTGCCTGTGAGTGTATTTGTTAATTTTAACAAAATAGATTTTGTAATCAGATTCTGTTAACTAATTGAATAAGTTACTAATAAGTATTTTAAAGTATCAATAATTGTAAGGTCTTTTTTGAAAATTACAAGAATTATTATTGAATTATTGACAGGATTACAAACATTTTGTAGATTTATTAACAAAATCCTGTCAATAATTCAATAATAATTCTTGTAATTTTCAAAAAAGACCTTACAATTATTGATACTTTAAAATATTTAAATAACTATAAAATATGATTATGTTAAGAATATATTTTATCCTTTGATTTTTTTTATTACAAAGGATCATTGGGAGTACCTCAAGGATCGATATTGGGGCCACTTTTATTTTTGATATTTGTAAATGATTTAAATTTAAATACAAATATAAATGGACTAACTATTAATAAAAACAAAACATTTTATATGCGATTTTTACCAACAAATGTTTCTCCAGATTAAGATTTATTTTTTCCAATTTTGGGTAAGCCAATTGAATCTGTGGAAAGCATAAAGTTTTTGGGTAATTACTTGGATCGAAAATTAACATGGGAAACACAAATAAATAATTTAAATAAAAAAGTTAGTTCTGCTTGTTATGTAATAAGGTGATTAAGAGGGTCGGTAACCTTTTCAGTACTCAGGCTTTTGTACTTTGGAGTAGTACAGGCCCATCTTGTCTATGGAATTATATTTTGGGGTAGCTCAAGTTATTTCAATAAAGTTTTTATTACGCAAAAGGTGCATGGACAAGAAAAGTCCAACATATTCTTGTAAACCTCTGTTTAGGAAATACAAAATTTTAACTCTTCCCTGTTTGTACATATTAAGTTTAGTTTTATTCATTTTTGAAAATAAAAAAGAAATTTTAACACATGGTAACAAACATGGTTACTCAACAAGAAGCCAAAATCAGTTAGTTTTGCCATTTTCTAGGCGTTATGTCAAATGTCTTTTATTTATATGGGAATTAAATGTTATAATAAAGTTATGTCTATTGTGTCTTGTTGTAAATGTTAAAATGCAGATTGCAGACTTTGTTTTTAGAAAAAGTATATTATTCTGTGGAAGAGTTTCTTAGTGATAATTTTTAATTAACTTATTTAATGTTTAATAAATTTAGTAGTAGGTACATAGTGTTTAAACATAATTTCTTTATTTTGTAATTTTTTTTTGACTATTCAAATATGTTTTATGGAATGAAATGCTGTAAAACTCTGTGATCAATAAATATTATAATTATTATTATTGCAAATTATTATCACAAAGTATTAAAAATTCTTACATGGTACAAAAAGTAGCAGTTGTATTTATTGAAATTCCCGATAGACTTTCTAACTTTGGAATCTACCGCGTTAAAATCTTAAATTTTTCTGTATAAATCAAAATTTATCCCTTGAAAATAGACTAACAATCGATATAGAAGCAGTTTTCCACAGTAAAAGAGAAGAAAATGTTTGTAGGTGGGGGTAGAAAATTATCTTCTTTTAAGTTTTTCAAAAAATAGGCAGTTGGAATTATTTAATTCTGAACGACCAATATATTAAACTTAACAACAAACTTTCTTGACTAATTGTCTGAAACTTTTTAATTACGTTTTGCTCTAATAACTGACTGGGCTTAACTTCAGATATCATTTTATGCGATACAAAGGGAAATTTATCAAATTACGAAGTAGTTTGGATGTTTCTCGAGCCCCCACTCTTATGCTCTGCTACGCAATCAATTTTTTTTTTTTTGAGTTTCTGTCTGCTTACGTAGGAATTAGAAATTTTTCGTCCTTCTTACAAGACGTTCAGGGCCAAGGATTCTCCCTGAGGCCAAGTTTTTACAACCCTGTTTTACTGTGTTTTTTATATCGATACATTTATATGAGATATGGAATATTACGAGGTTGGGATGTTTTTACGAAATATTGATAAAAGTGAAGGTTTTGACACAAGGACGTCAAAAAAATTTTGTGAGGGGAGGAATAATGATTTTTGTCTAAACTAAAGTTAATTAAAAACAAAATACATTATGTAATTTTAAGAATGGGCATTATTAATAGATAAAGAGCAACTTTAATAGTATATTATGTATCAAGTCTGATAAACGCCATTTTAGTCACGAATTTAATTAAATTTTCTAAACGAGTTGTATATTATACTTTTTCTACGAAAAATACTTACACTGAAAAAACAAATCTGTTTTACCAACCAATAAATTTTTTGTTGCAATTGTTTTTGTTGGTCCTAATAAAAAATTTGTTAACCCAAGTAAAGTGTTTAATACATTAGTATTTGCAACAAAAATGAATTTGTTGGAAAGAATTAGTTTACCCTACTGACAATATGCGTCGCCGCTAATAGGTATCCTTAAGTTAACATAACAAATATGTTTTTGTTGTCAATTTTCGCCCAAAATTGACATGATGTGACATTGAAATTTATTTTATAAAGTTGACCGACTTGGTGCCATGGTTAAAGTTTAGTCTTGGTGTCATAGTGATTGAATAATAAAAAAATAATTTGTCACTGTCAAAAATTTTTTGTGCAAATGCTAGAGGAAGCAGGTTCGCGTTAATTAATTTTTGTGCATTGGGCGTTATGGATGAAGGAGTAAACCAAATATTAACCGAGTGGGGATTTTCTTCATTAGAAAATACTTTTAAAGGTACCAAAATAATTTTTGTTAAAAAAAATCAAACAATATTAACCTATACCTACACAATATTGTTAATGCAACTCTTTTTATTAATTAGTATTACATACTGAAAGAGGTGCTTTAACAATATTGTGTAGGCATAGGTTAATATTGTTTAGGTTCTTTTAACAAAAATTATTTTTTGGTGATTAAAAGAACTACCAAATGTTATAACAACAAAGCAACAATGTTGTAGTTACTCATTACCATAGCTTTTCCAACAAATAGATTTATAATGAAAACAAATGCAAAAAGTTATAGAAACAAATAAATTATTACCTAAAACAAATGTAAACTGTTTTAACAACAAAATATTATTGTATGAGATATCAATAATATTAGTTACTTTAAACAAGACGCCATAGTTTTGTCAACAAAAAATATTAGTTACAGTAACATATTATGTCTCAACAAAAAAAATTTGTTGTTGTAACAAAGATTTTAGTTGAGGCTATAGCCAAAGATAATCTTTGGCTATAGCTACAAATAAAATTTGTTGGCGCAACTTTTTTTTAGTTGCTTAAGCAAATTATTTTTTTCAGTGTAATATTTTCTTAAAAATGATTTAAATTAAATATTTTTATATTGCTCGTTATTATTTTAAGTTATTGATACTTTAAAATATTAAATTAACTTCAAAATATGATTATGTTAAGAAAATATGTCAATAATTCAATCATAATTCTTGTAATTTTCAAAAAGGACCTTTTTACAAACTTTTTTGTAACTCCAAAAAATTAAGTTAATATTTTACAAAATAAAATTAACAAACTACAAATATGATTTTTATAACAGAGTAAACTAAAAATTAAACTAGGTAACCAATACAAGACCTTAAATCGTAAAGTTTTGCACTTATTTTGGGACGTTTGCTGTTGCCATGACCAAGGATCGGTTCTACTTC